TTATGTCGGTTGAAAGCGAACGGTGCGGCAATCTATTCCTCTCGACGAGCTCTACATGATGCGCCAGTCAAAGTTAAAACGTTTTCTTTCTTCTGCGCATTCGTCCTCACTGCGCTTGGACGACGTGACAACAGAACGATCCGCGCCAGGCGGGTCGCGGCGTTTATGTGCGCGGTGGGACGGAGTCGCCAAAAATGTATTCATTAATTACGATTTTGACTTCCGTTTATTCGGTACCCCGGGGTCCCGCCATAAGGTTCATATGTTATGTTAATGTTGATCGTGTCCATGAATCGAACTCCGGTCGCCTGGGTTGATAACCCAGTATGATAACCACTGAGCCACCACTCTTCCGCCCTGGCTTATATACATAAGTCAATTAACAATGTCTGTACCTGAGGTTTACGAATACCCTCCCGTTGGGTTTCAGAAGTGCTCAGTATTTGCCATATGCCCTCTTCCGTGCTGGTAGATTGTGTTTGTGTTTATGCTTGTACAGAACGTATCCTACACTTGTTGCTGGCTTTATACGTGCATTTTCTTCATTACAATTGAAGTATTAGAAATAGTGGGCGGTAGAAAGCATTGTGCCAACCTCACCTGGTTAATGTGCATCTCAATTCCGTGAATATTTCCAGACGGCACGGACTGGGACGCTGTGAAAAATATCTCCACTATTTACTCAGTTCTCCGAGTCGGTTATACATTTACTCAGTCAAATTAAAAGTACAATGCGTCATAAAATGTGGCTATAAAGGCCTGCGCTGTTTGGAATTGTGGAAAATGAAACGCTTTCTGTTGATGAGTTTCCATGACAAACGAGAACCAGGCCGTGCCGGCCCCAGGAGTGGATTGTTAAGTTGATCAACTGCAGCCACAAACCAGGTACATATCACCACGATCAATGTGTCATGAGCCTCTGTGAGCTCGGCCCTTTCCCTTCCGCTCTCCCCTCATAGGCCCCTCTCCCCGTGTACGGTGAAGGTCAAGAGGCAATCTTTAAACGAGTTAAAATTATCACTTAATGCAGGCATAGGATGGTGTTGCGTTCGTTCACCGTATGCGTTCACCTTATGTCACACAGCTTCCACCAGGGGTCGGCCCTATTGGCTCGACTCTCGAAAGGAAATTAAATCGTTAAGATGAGATGTGATATGTTACTTTGAGTTGCCAAGGCATATAAATGGCCTGATAAAATCAAAATCTCTTATCCGTATAGGCTATGTTAGACTTCTGCACTGCTGCTGTAATGTGACAACTGGTTCTGACTTTGACCCAGCTCAACGAACCGGGTGTCACCGTGTGCTCGTCTCACGTCTGCGTTCACCCCGTAAAGTCACGACTGCTTCTTTGGCTTGTGTCGAAAAGTGACAGCGAGGGGGGCTCAGATCTGCGACATCCAGGGGGCTCGGCTGGGCCAGGCTGGGCTGCCATAGGAACTTGTGCTATCGATCTTCTTGGTTCTTTCGGTAAAGTCACGTAGAATGGAAATAGTAAAATAATAAACATAAAACATAAGCAGACTCTGTCTACTCGACAGACCTGCTCTCCACCTGAGGACGGCTGCTTGCGTTGTGGCCGAAACGTCGTGAGAATTATTTTATTATGTTTTATTTTTATTATTTTATTATTTCCATTCTACGTGACTTTACCGAAAGAACCAAGAAGATGAATCCCTGCAGTCACGAAAGCTTTAAATCGAAATTTTGCTATCGAGTCCAGCTTCGGTGGGAGCACTGAGCCAGCGCAGTTCCCACTGCCAGGGAAACGAGGCACGTGACCGAGGTGGAAGGGCAGCAAGGGTTGTTGGGCGTTACTGTGCGGCGAAAGAAAACCTAACACGCCGCTACTTGGGAGTAGTCTGTATACCCTTGAGAGACGCTAGTTGTCCTTTCGCAGCCAATAACACTTGGTCTGCCCTGCTGCACGTGTGTACGTGTGCACGCGATTGTGCGATAAATGTTTGTGTACTTTTTTTTCCCAACAATTCTGAATAACGCGAATTAAAGTGGCCATTGATGGCTCAGCGTGACATTCCAAGTTGTCCTCTAAGACAGAAGGGGTGTACACCAAGTGTGTTTTGTGCAAGACATCCATTTTAATAAAAACAAAAACACGCCATCCGAGTCACATAAAGGCTGCAGGGACCTTCCATCATCCATCAACATGACTCTCGTGCAAATATTGTATTCCAATATTTGGACAGGGAATGCAACTTAATTGCAGTGAGACAGCAGATGGCCCCTTCAAAAGCAGGTGGTAAAAGGCCAGTTCCACACATTAATGAGCAATTTATGGGCAGCTTATATTACATGCGGGATGCACAGAATTGTGCATTATTAGCCGTAAACACATCTCATTCGCAATATAAATAATAGATAAAAAGGTGTCCCTCGCTGCGGTTGTTTATTTTTACAATGGGACGTCCGGCTTTTAGGTGCTTCATTCGTGCAGCATATGTCCTGATAGTGTTTTAAGTGGCGTGGCCGAATTACTGCCAATCACCGTGAGCAGTGTGGAGCGAGCACACAGTGTGGAACTGCCACCTTGCAATATGCCAACCATTTCAGTCGCACCTTCCCCCCCATACCACATTTCCCCATTCGTGTCTCCCAGACCAACTCAAGTCTTCACTGAGCAATGTACATGGAATGATGCATCGGTTAAAATGTATTTTCATGATCACGATACATCCGTCCTGCGATATTTGACTGCGTATGATCGTTCAGGATTCATTTATGAAATTTTTTTTTTATTCTATGCAAATGTACGGCACCAATTGGTGCACTGATTCATGCACTGTGCTCTGAATCCAGTGACATGAGTTTGATTCCTAGCCATGGCTAACATAGGTCGACAGTGATATCCTTCACCAACCCGTACTGATCAGTGCCTGTGAAGTATGATCAAACAACACCCAAGACCTAACATAGCGTGATGAGGCCTTCATCTAGCAGTGGATTGGTCTGTATTTTTTTTAAATACACAAATGCTACGCTAATGTTGCATTTGGGCAAATGCAGAAAATAAAAATCCCACAAGCCTGAGAGAAAAAAAACCCAACACAACAATAAAAAATGCTTTCATGGAAGCATCACGCCGAATCATGACTATTCACCAAATCATCGCACTCCATGCCGCGGATACGTGGCAGAGATGTCCACCCACCGTGTTTTCACCTCGTCAGGAGCACGCCGCAATATTTACAGAGACAATATCGCAGCCTTGATAGCTATCGTGATTGGGGCCCTTTGTTTACCTTTCACTCAGTGCCTGAGGCAGAGATGATTGTCCACAGAGAACACAGGTGCAGCTGTGTCTTCAAAATCTATTCTCGAACAAAAGTAAACACAAGCAAAAATGAAATCTGAAGGTGTTCAAACAAAACGTGCAGACGTGTGAAGTGCTTTATTCGCTGAATCTCTCTGTTAACTAAAAGCAATCATGCCAGGAGAGCCCTGTGGCTTCTGTAACTGTCATCAAAATGTACATTGTGCTGTTTACAATTTTTATTCTATTTTTGCGATTGTGCATTGTGTTTCTTAAGAGCCCTCTATATCATGTCCATGCATGCATTTGTAGCCTTTTAAAGAAGTGGCTTGAGTGTGCACTTATGGAATGCGTTGACCATTGTGAAACACATTTCCTCGTTCTTAAGGTGTCTGCCCTTTTGGGGTGTGTCCCGAGTGACGAGGCTTAAGCTGAGAACACTAATGATTCCATTTTGACCAAACATGCCAAGAGTAATGCTGAAAGAAAATGTGACATTCACAAAAGTGTCTTTTTTTTTTCTAAAGCACATACCTCCTGCTGGTATAGTTTTATTGTTTTTACAAGCAATGCGTGCGGTCTGCTCTCGAGCCGTGCTCTTGGTAACAACACACAACTAAGAATATTTCGCGGTTGTCACTGTTGACAAACGAGTGTTCTTGTCTGAATTGAGATTGACGTACTGCGGTGTACGAAGTTCGGTCGTTCGTTTCTCAATCCACTTGTCCCGGCGTGGGTCGTGGCGGCAGCATGTTAAGCAGGGCGGTCCAGACCTCCCTTTCCTTGGCCACAGACTCTAGCTCTAGTATAGATCAGTATTTCGTGGGTGGTGTTTTTTTTCTTCGACACGCGTTATTGCTTTTCTTGTATTTGTAGCTCAGGTTTAAAGTTTTGAAAATTATTTTGTTCGACCGGCTGAGTGTTCAGGAGAGGCAGGATAGAAGTCTCCTTTGCAAGAGTGACATGGGTCACCAGCATGGCAGATGCAATAAGATAAAATAAGGTACAATAACGAAGGAAATATAAAGCATTGCTGAAAAAATTTAGAAATCAGAGCAAATCGGCAACAGCTACATTACATAGGGAATTGAAAATACCAGCACAAACATAATTAAGTATTCATTCAAATACATTTCCTGTCACGCGAGTTGGCTTGGTAAAAATGACTTTTTAAAACCGTTCCGCGTACAATTCAGTTAAAACAAAGATAAGAGTAGAATGATTGTGATTATTGCACTCGTGTGTAAACAGACAAGGATATTGTCAAATAGCATTACAAGTGAATCCATAATATATATCTTACCATCAAATTATAAATTAGGTGGAGGACTAGCCAAGGATGTCAAACTGGACTCAAGCCCATTCTCGCTTATGCAATGGATTGGAAAACAGCATTTCCACAGGGGTCATTTTTCCCAACATCTTTTATCAGTCACAACAAAAAATATTTTGTTTGCAAGCGGCATCTCAAATTATGGTAATACCAAAATGGGACCTTTTTTGCCAGTATCAAAGTATGAAACATCTTAACACCTGTTGTATTACAAGAAAGAGTAAAACCTATTCTTATTTTTCATATGGGAATACCTCTCTAAAGTTTAACAGGCGGCAATTTTTGTTCAACGCCATTCCGGACCATTCCCCAAAATCGTTCAAGAATACAATATAAAATATTTACAGAATGGGCTGTTTGTATTTTAATGTCATACCGCCGTGCGCTTTATTTGCAGACTGTGCTGGGACAACGAACAAGTTAAATCTGCTGAGTAACAAGGAGAAGCAGTACGAGATCCTGCGTGAAATGTACACCAACTGTGAGATCGTCATGGGGAACCTGGAGATCACCAACATCCTCAATGGGAGCGACCTCTCCTTCCTGCGGGTGTGTGACGACGCTGTGCCGATAGTTCACGAGCCCCAACCGCATAATCGCACTTGTCAACGCCCACCTGAGGTGGCATTGCTTCAGTGCTTCCGATATCTTTGCGAGGCCATAATGGTGAATTTTGCCACAACCGTTTGCAATTCGTGGCTTATCAAGGAGTTCACGCTTATTCACTGCTTAAATAAATGGGTACTAATTAACGTGGTGCTACCAATGCATTCCTTAAATAACGCTCATGCCCCCTGCTCAGTGCCACAGCAGTAAAAATAAGGAAGGAAATGAGCCCAAGAGGACTATGCGCCAAAGAGATGGAGCAACAACATTGCAGGACCATGGATGGACCGTGCCTGATGATAGTGATGCTTGTCAAGAAACTGCCAAGGTGGTCCCTGAACGTTTATTTTGTACCTCCATCTGATGGAAGCACTCTTCGAGATCCCTCCAGCGGAGCCATCCCCCCAGCATCGCTTTGAGCAAGCAATTGCTGGGCTGCACCTTTGCAGTTTTTGAAACAGGCATTTGGAGTATTTGGCTGCTAGAAATGTCCACGTGATCAGCCGCCACCTTGTAGAGCTATCATTTGTGGGACAGGTCGCTTCTGAAAAATAACTTTATAGCTCAGTGAGCGTTACCTAGTAAAGTAAAAAAAATTGCTTAGTTTATATTTCACCTAAACTCCTCATTCACTCTCCCATCCCGCTCGCCTCCATGCTGTTTGCCAGTCGATCCGGGAGGTGTCTGGGTACGTGCTGATCGCCCTCAACGAGGTGGACTACGTGCCCCTGGAGAACCTGCGTCTCATCCGCGGCAACACGCTCTACGACAATAAGTACGCGCTCAGCGTGCTGCTCAACTACAACAAGGAGCAGCCTGAGTCGCAGCAGGGTATTCGACGGCTCCACCTGATGGGCCTCTTGGGTACGCACGTCCATTGCTCGCTCATGGGAGTGCCGCCCCAATCGCTCGCTCACCCCACTGCTTAAATGGCCTCCCCCAAGCTCTAGAAAGCCCTTGTGGATGGTAGCTTACTCTGCCATCCTGGCCAAACATCTCTGAAGAGGCATGGGATATCTATAATTTACCCCGGCACACGCAACCTTGTCAGTCGACAAACTGTGGTACAGTGGTACCCGGGACATCGAACTTAATTCGTTCCAGACGGCCATTCGAACACCGATTTGTTGGAACACCGAATTAATTTTCCCCATAAGAATTAATGTAAATGACATTAATTGGTTGCAGACACAAGAAATCTCTCATAAAGCATTTTTGCACGAAGTTTACAGTAATTACATGCATAAAATCATACAAAAAAACAAGAAACACAATAAATAAATGGAATAAATGAATACATATATGGAATAAATGAAATAAATGAACATTGAACTTCACTTTACCTGTAGTAGGGAGAGTTGATGGCTTGAGTGGAAGGTGGTGAGGAGGAGGAGGTGGTGGTGTTATTGTTTGGAAAAGGAGTCCCCTTTGTCTGGGTAAGCATCATGCACGCTGGCCATACGCGTCTCAGCCGTACAGGTTCTTTCAAGTCGCGATTGCCCTGTTCAACCTCCGATTTTCGTTCGGTTACCGTGGCAAAAAATCTTCAGAAATATCGTTCGAACACCGATTTGTTCGAGTTCTGGTGCGTTCGATCTCCAAGGTTCTACCGTGTCCCCATTTAAACTGCTAGATGTCACAGAGGCGGAGGTGTTTAATAAACTTGCACCATCGCTTCAACTGGTCCCTCAGGGAGGTTGAACCGGTGAAGATGTTGATAGCAAGTCCAGTGTGCTAACCATTACACCACGAAATAAGTTTAGACCATTTATCAATTCAGAGTGGATCCATTTGTTGTGTCTCAATCGCGCAGAAATCATTAAAGGAGCTGTCTACTTCGATTCCAATGAGTACCTCTGCTTCGCTGACACCATAAACTGGGCTGACCTCAAGAGCAAGCGGTCCTCTGAAAACGTGACCAACAAGCTGGACTTCTTCAAATCAACATGTGAGTGGCGTAATGTGCATCAGTATACAGTTCCAGGTGTAAATAACATTGAATGTGCGTACAGATAATATTCGTGGCAGTAGAGTAATTTTCATGACCATAATTAAAAAATAAAGCTATCAGAATTATTAATGATTTAGCATCCCCATGGAGGTGAACATCAAACAGCAATAATGTAACATATTTCTTAGCTCTCCGATGTCTTTTCGGCTTCCTGAAAAAACTCCCAGCACATGGAGGCGAAACTTTGGACACCGTGCCGAACGACTCGTGGTGCAACCTGGGAACACATTGGAGAAGCTGCACAGCACAACCACTAAAACCTATGCAGAAGGATTATTTAAGACAACTTAAGTTAGGGCAGGTTGGTGATCCTTGGGGAAAGAACCAATGTGACAGCGTAAATAGCCCTCCAGTTCAACCAGGGTCAGTTTGAAACTTAGTCCTGGCAGTCAAGCGGAGAGGCTATCGAGGACAAGAGCTCTGAGCCCTTAAGCCGAGAGAAAATGGTTGCGATATTCACTATTCAGATGTTAAAAATGTGCCGTATCAATTGTGTAGTGGAACAGTGGCAGTTAGCTTGGACCTCTCGCGCTCAAACGTCGAGTGCGAGAGGCGGGCGCTGTCACTGTTGTGTTTGAGGGAAGCTCGAATCGCGTTCTGTTGTTCTCCTAAATGGGCTTCGCCACTCTGTTCTGCCAGGCAAGCCCTGCCATCCGTCCTGCAATGGCCACTGCTGGGATGAAGGTGCAAATTACTGCCAGAAGTGTAAGTCGAACGCCCATCCTGCCCATCCTTACCCATCACAGTAAAAACCCTCTGCTTTTTTGCGTATTCAGCACTCGAGTTCAATGGTTCGTCTACAGAAAACGTTTACATTTCTTTATTCATTTTATATTTATCTACTAAAAAAAGTGAAAGAAATGAATGTTACAATTAATAAATGGATCAATCTTTGTCAATGGTTGCGTCCGGAGAGAATAATAACAAGCAGTAAGTATAAAACCATTCTAGGAAGCAGAAATATATAAACAGTAGAACCCCTCTTAGTGACGGTGATTGGTTTCACGAAACATGTCGTTAAGTGATTTGGTCGTTAAGCGAGTATAGGAAATACACATTAAAGGTTTAATTCGTTCTGATAGCATCGAAAGTTACCCTCTTTTTCACCCAAAAACATACTTTATAATATTTTAACATTGGATATTAATACATAAAGATACTAACAACATTATACACACATACTATTAAAAGAAACACGGTTAATCAATGCATGAATTAATATTTACTGTACCTACAAAAGCCCGTCGTTAACAGGGGAATGGTTGGTAAGCGAACACATGGGGCTCTATGGAGGCAGTACACTACTATACACTACACTACTATACACTACACTATACACTACTATACACTACTATCCACTACACTACTATACACTACACTACTATACACTACACTATACACTACACTACTATACACTACACTATACACTACTACTATACACTACACTACTATACACCACTACTATCCACTACACTACACTATACACTACACTATACACTACACTACTATACACTACACTACTATACACTACACATGGGGCTCTATGGAGGCCCGTCGTTAAGCGATTAATGATAAACAGGGGTGGTCGTTATGAGGGGTTCTACTGTATATACTTAATATTAAAAGCAGTTTAAGCTCATACAATATCAGGGTGTGAACGCCATATAAAAAAATAAACATCTATTTTCAGTCTTATATTAATAAGAATAACAGACGTAACCTCCCTGCTGATCGTGGCCGCTCATTCCACAGTTTAGGAGCGCTCCAGGCGAATGCTCTGCCACGTGCATTTTCTCAGCACAATTGGGTTATTTTACAAGTCTGGATCGTGTAACCCAAGAGACCGACTCGGTACATATGGGGTCAAACGTCCTTCTCGGTATAGAGGGACCACGATCATTTAAAGCAGTGGTTCTTCTTAACCTGGGGTGCAAGCACCCCCTGGGGGTGCGAGATGCCCTTTCTGGGGGGGGGGGGGTGAGACATGCCAGATGTTATTAGAAGGTAAATCATCGAAACACAAATTAAGCACATAAGTACAACTAATTAGTTTCGTCAAACCAATGCATTGATTAACAATATATATTTTTCGGTAAAGTCACGTCTAAAGATAAAATAATAAACGAATTATTTAATTTATTATTTTTATTTTATCTTAATTTATTATTTTATCTTTGACTTTACCGAAAGAACCATAGAGTAATTCCTGCAGTCACGAAAGCTCCAAATTCATTATATATTTTTTTACGATTGAGAGCCAAAGGGGTGCAAGGCTGCAGTAAAGCTTAAAAAAACACTGATTTAGAGCTTAATATTTCATGAGTAAGACATTAGAATCAAACCTGAACTGAACAGGAAGCCAGTGCTCGTGTGCCTATAGGGGTAATACAAAATTACTAAAATGGGACTATAGTATTACAGTGATTGCCTAATGCCCCAGGTACCTCTTGTAAATGAGACTATCCCCTGGGTCTATTGAGTTATCACCTGGTTAAACAAAATAGACTTGAAATTTGATATTGTCACCTTGATCAATTATCGTCAATATTTGATGTTGTGCCTCTTTGCAGTTGGTGTCGCTGTGTTTTATATGCAAGCGTTTACATACGTAGGCGTGCAAGCGGTATTGTGGGTGCACTAACTGTGTCCGTCTGCCTTTAGTCACGAGTCTGCATTGCGCCAAGCAGTGCGACTCACGCTGCAACGGTCCCGACTCCAACAACTGTTGCCACCGGCACTGCGCCAGTGGCTGTACTGGCCCCTTGGATACCGACTGCTTCGTGAGTGGCACACAAAAAGACAAAGATACCTCGTATAGCCTGCACAGGCTGTTGGAGCAAAGGGTTGTTAGCGAGCACCTATGAAGGCTGACACAGGACACGAGTTAGTGGTTGTGGCGAGGACCACCCCCGGCCACCTATGTCATCCCATTGCTAATGTTTGCACACTGCACTGGGTACTCATTTAAGATGACCTAGGGGAGGCCCCAGGACTGCTTCGAATAATTGCCACGGATGTTCTTTGTGGGCGGGAATCGAATTGGGGCAGCTGGATTTGTCGCCCTGTGCAGTAACCACGACGTCCGCTCTCCCACCTGCACGAGCCAGCCACTTGCACAGCATGTGCCCGCGGCTCCCATGGCTCCTTCACGTGGGCACGATAGCTTTGGTGGCGTGAAGGGCGTAATGGCCTCGACCGTTTCGCTACAGCGCAAAAATCGCCCGATGAAGCTGGTTGCAAGCACCAGCGAAACGTGACGGTGGTCAAATTGTAAACGTCGTGGGTTTACTCTCCAGCACACACCGCGGTGTGTTACTACTACTACTAGTAGAAATTTACTCGCACATTTTGTTGATGGGACAAACCTCACTAAGTTGGCTGTGTCAGGTGGTGGTGGTGGTGGCAGGGTTTAATGACGCATTTATATTTACGCAATCTAACACACACGCAAAAAAATAATCATTATTATCAGGGACGGGAACGGTTCCCGTCGAGCTCCGACCCACCTTTTTGTCTCGCGCAATACAGGCGTGCAGGTACGTCAACGACAGCGGGGCGTGCGTAGACCACTGCCCGCCGCCCGAGGTCTACAACCAAATCTCATTCAAGCTGGAGCCTAACCCTCACGCTAAGTACAGCTACGGGGCCACCTGCCTGGAGAAGTGCCCAAGTGAGTGTCTCTACAGGGTGCTTCAAAAAAATGTGAACACTTCCGAGAATTTGCAACAACACCACGAGACATCTGCCTCCGGGCTCTGGAGACCACCTGGAGAAGATTCCACGCACGTGTTGACAATGATGGCGAACAAGTGGAGACTCTATGACTTTTTGAAGCTATTAACATACATTTGTTATCATGTTAAAGTGTATTATCCGTTCTGTTCCATTAAATGCGATAGTACCATATAAGTGTTAAAATAAATTTGAAGCACGCTGTATATATTAGTTTCTCGTCCTTAGTTCTTGTAATGTTTCGTGTCAAACAACTAAAATTATTGCCCTCCAGCGTGTTTTCCGGTTGTACTGTGTGTTTGTTGTTGTTTGGCACGGTGTCTGACGTTTATCTCCCAAAGCACCGGGAGCTTATTCAGGAAATTTGCAATTTGAAGAAGCTCTCCCCGCAGCAGGAGCGAAACGTCGAACATCGTGCCGAACAATATGTGCCAGCAACCCGAATATGCATTGGAGAGCTGTGTAGCACAGCTGCAAATTTACAGCGCAACTGCTTGGATGCTCAAGATGCTTTTGCTTGGAGGTCACTCTGCTGCTTCGCTCGCTGTCTAGAATTCCCCAACTCCCGCCCCCCGCCGCCGGCCATCCAACTTCTTGCCCCTGTTCACATCTGGGCTCTCAAACTCTCCTCTTCTGTTGGTGGCTATTTCCTCTAATATAAACTCCATTTCACGATGGTCATCGTGAAAAAGTAAGCAAAGTATGCCCCTAGAGGGGTTTTCGTGAGCTACCTCGAGTGTGGAGGCCCTTTTGACCAGCATTGCCTTTGATCAAGAAATGTCAAGGGTTGCAACTTTATATTTTAGCCATAGTTGCATTCTGTGTGTGTGTGTTTACGTGGTTCACTGTCCTGGGTTTCTTTTTTGCACGCAGCATCTAGAGAGATGCAGATGCATTTAGATGCTGCATAAATGAACATTCTATTGGATTCATATCGAGCCTCAAAAAGCTGACCCTCATACAGGCATAAACAACCATTGGCTAATTCTTCCCAGAACGCATGCACCTATATTTGGATACGTTGAGTTTTCTGGGCATCATGTCAGTCGTTGTTTAAAAAAACAAAAACTCTTTCTTGCTTGTGAACACATTGCCGCGAGGTGCATCCTCTATCCAACCTGCAGATAAGTTACCTACATTAATTTCCCTCAAGAGTAGATTTGAAGTCATTCACTTTCATGCAATAGTGAGGTTGCATCTGAGAAGGCCAGCTAATGAAGTAATTACATATCAATGTGGAACTTCTTCAATTGTCTAGTTTGCAGAGCACCTAATGGTGGCTGTGTTGTTATTCATGTGCTAAAACCAGAGGTATTTCATAGTCATTTAATGATTCATCATCCCAGGGCTTTGGTTAATGTCCGTCATTTGTAGTTAAAAAAAATATTCTATGTGTGTGTGGAGACGAAGAAAGAAAGTCTGCTAATACGTTTTGTTTCCCATATTAGGTCATTTTGTGGTGGACTACAATGCATGTCTTCGCTCGTGCTCCGCAAATAAAATGGAAGTAGAAAACAGCAGTGGGGTTAAGCACTGCACCGCCTGCGGTGACATCTGTCCCAAAGGTACCTCTCACCCATCATGCTCTTTTACAACCTTGTTTCTACACACACACAGAAGAATCTTTATTTTCAAATGTGCTGGAGACTAGGACACAGCACAGCTCCTTAATCGTGAATTTCTCATCTGTACACTCACACACGGGGTGCCATGTGATAATTTCCGGACATAAACATGTCTGGAAATAGTTTTTCACAAGGTACATAAATTCCAACTTCTTTAACAACATTCTGCTTAAGGTCACTGATTGCTCTCGACGTAAGCAGTCGCTATATGACGAACACCATTCTTTCTGCAAAGTGGATTATTTGTTTGGTCTACATTACTAATTAATGGTTTCTTGATTCATTATCATATTTTACGAGTGTTTAAAACATTACATTTCCAAGCAACAACTTTCACTTGTTCTGCAAGGATATAAAACACCACCCAAAGTACGATTCTGCAGTGCACTAGTACAATATTGACAACAGTAAAACTTCTTGATGAAGCTTAAATCAAAGGTAAATATTTCCAAGTTTTTTTACACGAGGTTGTTTATGATTATTATTATTGTCTTACGTGTGGTATCTTTGTGCTAGTGTGTGACGGAATAGGGTCCGGGAGCCTGAAGGAAAGTCAGACGATCAACTCTGCCAATATCCACCTCTTTCAAAACTGCACAAAAATTAGAGGAAACCTCGTCATTCAGAAGCCGGGCATCAACGGGTAAGCTTGGCCTCCATCTCACAGGCATTATCAAGCTGCTCCCCCCCCTCCCCCCTCCTCCTTGCAGATGTAGATTACAGAGCAACAACTTTCAATTTCACATTCAGGTGCTCGAGCCAGATAACTGCGTCAGCAGCAGCGAAGTGTCATCACCCTCACTATGAGACCTCCTTTACCAGTGGCAAAATATAGTAGTAGGTTTTTACCCTTTAAACTGGTACAAAACTGACACCTTTATACAAGGCATCATGTTTGCAATACCTGCAACACAAGCAGTCAAAATGCAAACAAAAAGAAACAACTCTGATAATGGTAATGATATGCACTGTCCTTGAAGTCCTTGAAGTTGATTGGTCCACACCCGAGACAGCTTTCCTTAGAGCCTAGTCTCCATTGGTGTTGGACCAGATGACGCCTTTTGGCCTTTTGGCGTCATCTGGTCCAACACCAATGGAGACTAGGCTCTAAGGAAAGCTGTCTCGGGTGTGGACCAATCAACTTCAAGGACAGTGCATATCATTACCATTATCAGAGTTGTTTCTTTTTGTTTGCATTTTGACTGCTTGTGTTGCAGTTATTGTAAACATGATGCCGTGTATAAATGTGTCAGTTTTGTACCAGTTTAAAGGGTAAAAACCTACTACTATGTCATCACCCTGTGATTCATTACGATTGCGAGATACTCGGACCTCGGCCCTCGCAGAGAGTCCCTCAATGTTCAGTTGGAGGATCTTGTCCCAGGGCCTATCTGGCACGTTGTTTTGCCCTGAAGAGGGCTGTTGGCGTGGCTTGTGTTGTTGAGCTGGAGACCGCGAGATTGATGATCGATTCTAGATTTGAAGCTTTCGTGACTGCAAGGATTCATATTCTTAGGTTTTTTCGGTAAAGTCACGTAGGTAAAAAATTAAAATTAATAAAAGTAAAATAAAATAAAAATCACGACGTTTCGGAGGCAACACAAGCTTCCGTCTTCAGGTGGAACCGTCACAGCCACGACAGCTGTATCAAGTAAATGAGAGATTACAAGAGCTACCACTCCGTATATATAATGGTTGGGGAGGGGGGGAAGGGCCAAGTACAGCACACTTTGTTATTAATATGGTAAGGTGAGGCTTAAGAGGCTGAGCCTTTGTTATGGATAGCTACGGTTTGTGACTAAGCCTGGCCTACATAACAATAGTGTGAAAAAAGAAACAACTAAACATGGTAAAACAAGCCTGGCTGTCTATCAATAACCTGTAATAGTTGTCTATCAAATAAGATGGTCCAAATAAGTGTAGTTAAATCTTTTTTGCATGGTTAATCACATCTTTCCAATGGTTACTCAGTTTGTAACCATCATCACGGTTGAAATTATGTCTGTGTTTGTATATTTGTATGATCGATGTTTGGTCGATGTTTGGTCGATGTTTGATCTCCGCATTGACAGCATTCGTCGTGATGTCACTCAACAGAGTGGGACTGCGTGAAGGCTGTCATCTTCCACTGTAAAGCAGTGATGCGCACAGTGTGAACTCAGGAACTCTTATTCATGGTTCTTTCGGTAAAGTCACGTAGAAGGGAAATGATAAATTATTATTATTTCTTATTTCCCTTCTACGCGACTTAAATACATTATTATTATTCATTATTTCCCTTCTACGTGACTTTACCGAAAGAACCAAGAATATGAATCGCTGCAGTCACGAAAGCTTTAAATCGAAATTCAGGAACTCTTCTTTAACGCAGGGATTGCATGTTGGGTCTCTCAATCGGCAATTCACGTGTTTTTTCTGTTGTTCTCGTTTTGTTTCAGGGATCCTTATTTACATATAGAACGCATGAATCCAGAGCATCTGAACTATTTCAGAACCGTGCAGGAAATAACAGGTGTGGTTGGGCATCTGACATTCAAGACACCTTTTGCAATGTGAAGCACAACCGTTTCTATAGTACTCTGTTAAATGTCACTTTTATAAGATAGGTGCATCTTGGCATCATCATTATCAGCCACGGTCAATCGACTGGGTGCATTTTGCAACGGCCGCTAAACCAGCTATGCCCTGGAAGGCGGAATATTTTTTGTGTGAAAGAGATGACATATAGGGTGCTGTGTACTGAGTGGTATATTTGATCAATGGCACTGTACAGCCAGTGTTTTATAATTACCAGTCGGTATCTACTTTCGATATTTACCTGACAACAATTCCATTAATTGTCCAGCTTTGGGGTCACAATTGAATGCGATCATCTATTCGTCTTTATCTCGTTTATACTGTGTAATTTGTATGGCCTCCCCTAATTTGTTCTGTCGATACATGCCTAATGATGAGCTGTATGTTAGCAATGCTGCGGTGCATTGACTGAGAGAATGTATACCACAGGATACTTCAACATCGAGGGATGGCCCGAAGAGTTACCGCATCTTGGGGTCTTCGAAAACCTCAGGGTCGTGCAAGGCAGAGCATTTAGAAGGTGATGTTTAAGCTACAAAAAATATACATTGAACGAATACATACCCTTTGCAATTGCATGACAGCACTCAACATGGACAATGGAATGCCATCTGTATGTTGTTTAGCAAACGTAAACACAACTGTTGGGTTTTGCTTTATTGATTAAATATCAAATCTGTAGTGAGACTTTGCTTAAAGGGGGCCATAATAAACCTAAAAGCCTCGGGGAACAGGGGGTTCGACATGGCCAATGTTAAACAAACTCGAAGCACATGTTACCGCAAGACAAAATGAGGGACGGATGATCTGTCGATGTCGCTTGGGCATGCAGTGCAAGCTCTCAGTCCTGGTGTAAATGAGGAAAGGCTGCTATGCCCATCGCCAGATCGTTGTGATTTTTGTACCAACATTATTTTGTGTGTGTTTCTGTTGGTTCTCTTTACAGCTCTAAAGAGTATTCTTTCTTAATTTCTCACCTGAACAATATAACATCTCTGAATCTGCAATCTCTGCAAGAAATCAGCAAAGGCAACATCTTAATTCAGCAGAACAAAAAGCTGTGCTTCTACAACTCTGTGAATTGGACTCTTCTGACTGGGTCAACATCTACCATGTTTAAAATTGTGGGCAACAACAAAAACTGTGGTATGCTGCAAACTGCATGTTACCATGAGCACACGGATCTGTGACCTGATATTGGATGTTGTTTGTAGACAATGTGTTTTTTTGTAGCGAGAGTTTTCACACAGTTAAAAAACACAAGCACCGTGCCTGTGTGGCCACGGATTGGTAGCACTGCTTAATTTTTCGCTGACCATTTCAGAATGTTATTGTCTGTTATCTAACGTAAGGGAGGTACATTTTGTCGTATGCTCCGCCACATAGTTATTTGTCACGTGATGGTCAAACCGTAACTGTTTTACTCACGGAGCTGGAATTGTTATCAAATTAAGTCAAAACCAAATTTTACAAAATGGGTTTTTTAGGAAGTCATCGGTGGCCAGGCTGAGACCCCTCAAGTCGTGACATATGAGAAACGGTTTGAAGCTGGGTGATTGCAGAATTTAACAGTGGCTTATCAGTGCTCTGCCCTCTGAACCGTACAGTCTTCCCTCGTCATTCACAAACTTGCTATCTGCGATTTTGGCTACCCATGAATCGCATCTGGAACTCTACATGACTGCATGGAGATAGAGAGGAGTGATGAGATAAAGTGAAGAGATAATTTTCATGTATTTCATCGCTTATTTATTGCGTATTTATTTAAGGGAATTCAATAAAAAGGCCACTGTCATTCTTTGGTTCTTTCGGTTAAGTCACGTCTAAAGATAAAATAATAAATTAAAATAATAGCATATTACGACGTTTCGATTGCAACACAAGCAATCATCATCAGGCATAAAAGAAATAGCAACAAAAATCTAACTAGAAAACAATAGACAGACATACAAGCAGACAGACATCACAAGGACACAGAGAGAGGACACATATCGACACAAATGGGCTACTCTCTTTCGAATAACGTCCCACTGCCAAATAGAATTACCATATTTTGGTTAATCTACCCGCAATATTAACTAGGGTGGCCGTTGGGCCCGAAACCACGAACCTCTGCAACAAACGTGTTACCGCTCAGCGATGTCACCACCCCAACCGCAAAGTGTGTGTCGGTGTCCCTGTTAGCTTGATGATGCCGTGTGTTCCCCAAATTCCCCAGACAAGCAGTGCGATGTACTGTGCTCTACCGATGGCTGCTGGGGCCCCGGACCTTCGCAGTGCCTCGCCTGTAAGCACTTCAAGAGAGACCGCACGTGCGTGGAAGCCTGCAACCTCATGCACGGGTGAGCACTGCACGTCGCCCCACTGAGACCTGCCACCAGTAGCACCTGTGTGCCAAGGGCCGGTGCACCGTGTTTGTGTTGTGTGTAAAGCCACCACATTTCTTGGAGGCTCAACGTATAGTGAGCTGGCAGCCCCTTCCTCTGTCAGCCCAACGTCACCTGGGTAAAGAAAATAAATGTAAACATTTGGTGGCCTCACTCTTTTTGATGTTTGCCCCCACCTACTGGCTCAGAGGCCTCACCCACTCCTTTGCCAACCTCACGCACTGCTCCGGTGACCCTGCCCTTATTGTAAGTCAAGCATGAAGTTGAAACTAGGACAAAAAAAAAAATCGGATTTCCACATATGCTTCAGGACACAGGGGGCGACTTTTTCTGAAATGATGATTTCTCCGGTGAAACCGGGATATTTGATAAGTTAGTTGCGGGTGACACATTGGACTGGAACCAACGTTGTTCGCATTCTACCCAGGAAATCTTGATTTGAAGCTTTCATGACTGCAGGAATCCATATTCTTTGGTTCTTTCGGTCAAGTCACGTAGGTAGAAAAATAATAGATCACGACGTTTCGATCGCAACACAAGCAATCGTTATCAGGTGGGACAACCACAGCAAGAAAAAACTGCAGCAGTTTTCTACCTACGTGACTTTACCAAAAGAAACAAAGAGTACCCAGGAAATGTTCATCCGTATGTGCACAGCATATAACCGTCGTATAAATCTAGTTTGCATTAAACCTGCATCACATCAAGGGGATCCCCAACGTTTTGTTTGTACACATAGAGATCCACACCACGATTGCTTAAGCAGGTGTTGTATCTTCTTGCATTCCATCTGGCTGGGGCTTGCTTTAAAACTTAAGATCTTACCCATCACTGGATCAAGAGCAGCAGATCGTTTCCTTGAATGCCCTCTAGTTTCATGCAATGAAGATATTCGACATCATTATCGGTCATGGTTAATCCACTATAGAGTGAAGGCCTCTACACAATCTGGTGGCATTTATCTGTGATTTAAGAATCTACATATCACCTGCAATCGAACTGGTTTAGTCACTACATGTCCTTGGTGGATGTCCTCTCAGACACATTCCGTTCCTTGTCTACCACTCCCTCATTGTTCTTGACCATCTGCCATCATTCTCTTTAGCAACGTGTCCTTCCCAAGCCCCCAGACTTTTTTTTGTATGAATGGTCTGAATGCCGTCATTAACCTGTACATGCATTGTAATCCATGCGTTCATATTTATGTCTCTCAATGTAATCCAGCACGCATATCTCCACGCTTCAGAATTTCCGCCGGGGTTCAATTGGCCTGTTAAATATTGCAAACGAAAACTAATTTTAAAAACATTAAGGCCAATTTCGGTCTGTGGTATGTGTAGTCCAACAGTGCTGCATTCTTGTAGGTAATAGATGCCTTTACTATAATAAATCAAACAAGTTAACCTTTTATATGATCACGTGGAAACTCACAGTCCCACTGATTGCCTCTATAGATATACAATGTAATCCCTTTGAGATGGCTAGGGACGGTGGCCCTAATGGTGGCAGTGTGCGTGTGACAGGGAGGTGCGGGAGTTCGCCGATGGGAACGTGTGCAAGCCGTGCAATCCGGAGTGCCTTCCTGTGAACAACAATCTCACCTGCAACGGCCCGGTCTGTACTGCTCACATGCACAGCCACCTTCGCTCCAATGCATGGGGATTTTTATTCGTCTCGGTTATTATGGTGTTGTCGTAAGGAAATGACGGTGGCCGTAAATCCAAAACTTCTCTGTACACGAAAGGGCTTGAGGTACTACTGCTTAGGTTTTCACACTTATGCTGTATTGCTGCTGTCTTATGTGTTCTCGAGTTGCGCCGCGTGTTGCTTGACACAATGTCCAAGGATGCCGGGACATTAATCAGGAATTAATTTCTTAAAGAAGCTCCCAGCAGTGGAGTAAAACTTCAGACATAATGCTGAACAACACACGGTACATTGCGATAACGCATAACAGATTGAACGCATTATCGCTCAAATAACCGTGGAATTCAAAATCCAAATATCTTTAGCGCAGCAGAGTATGAAACTATGTGAAACTAGTACACAACAGTGAGTTATTTAGCTCCTGCAAATATATAGTGCTGGTTCCACCTGTGTTGACCTCATGAAGGGGGAATTGACCTCATATGCAGAAAGGACACTGTGGAGTTGGTGTTGGAATCCCATGCTTGCTCATGGCCTTTTGTGCAGACCCTCTCACGCGCACACCATTTCCATTCATTAGAAGTGCAACAGCAAATTGTAAACTTCAAATCAGCCAGGTATAGCATAATTTAGTGTAATTCCTTTGCTGCCCTGCTTAAGCAGTGAATATCAAAAATCAATGACCACCTTCAAGTGCTTCTGTTGTTCACATGTGGATGCTGTCAACTTTTCTTACATCTGCCATAAATAGCTGATCAGCAAAGGACAATAGTTCTCGGAGGTTTTAGTTTTAACTGACGGCCGTGCCGGTGCTTGCTGCAGGGATCAGAAAATTGCTCCGCGTGTCGCAACTTCAAGGAGGGTCCACTTTGCGTCTCAGAATGCCCCAGCGGCATCCAGGGAGAGAACAACACGGTCATTTACAAGTATCCAAACGCGTTCAACATCTGCATGCCTTGCCACACCAGCTGCATCCACAGGTGAGCAGCATAGCATTTGTCTACGTCTCTTGTCGTGTGCATGAATTTGTGCATGTGTTAAACTGTTGTGGCGCTCCACATTTATAATGAAGTCACTTATTGTAACTTTCATTCCCTACCTTACTGAAGAAGCTTGACTCAATGTATCACTCGGCCTTAAGATTTGCATTGAACTGCCCATATAGGACTCACCACTGTGATCTCTACATTGGGTCAAACTTAACATCTCTGAATGTTCGACGGCTTGTGCACCAGATCTTATTTATTCATGATGTACTTGCAAAAAAATCTGCAGATTACCTGCTGGATCTCGTCTCTGTTTCAAAGAACAAATTTGACCTAAGGTCTACACTCATTTACCAGCTTAATATTCCCTATTGCCGTACATATACTGGAGGAAGGGCCTTTGCTATTGATGCCCCCAGGGTCTGGAATGCTGTTGCAAATAAATTGAAACTTGAGTCACTACCTATGAGATCTTCACTCAAAACTGCTTTAGAGGAGTTGTACACCCCTAGCTGCCAGTGCTATTCAGTGACCTAAAATAAAATGTTTCGCTCCGGATGATCGCTACAAAGTATGACCTGTGTTTTGATTTAGTGTGCTGATCTTAAAGGTGCATTGAAAAATTACAATACTCCGATTGATGCTCCTGCTGTTGTGGAGTGACTCATGCAGCCAGCTATGGCTGCAGGGTTTTGGTAGTACATGTTGTTTATGCCATTTATTGTGAAAATTCCGTCAGTTCCTATGATTGCTTTTTCATTGCCTTCATGGCTTTATTTTGGTGATTTCGAAAAGTGTATTGGTTTAGCCATGTTTGTGTTGTTGTAGTACAGAGTTAGACTGATGGCCTTAATCTAAGTTGTCTTGTGGTTGTTGTTGTTGTTTGACTTGCATCCCACTGGGATTTTTGCACACAGCGTTGGTGTACGGTGTTTTTTCTGCAATATTTTTTGCTGTCTTTTCTTGGATTTTCTGTTTGCACTTAGTCACATATTCACTTTAAGATGTTTTTTTGTTCATGTTTTTGTTTTTTGTTTGTTGCGGTTGCACCCGATTCAAGAGCTGAATGGCTCACAGGGCTATACCTAATAAATGAACTTGAACTTGAACCCCCGCCCCCAAACCCGATGTTTTCAGCTGCACAGGACCAAACGCAGAAGACTGCAGTGGAATGGCCAAACATAGGTGAAGATCGCACCATGCATGTCCAATATGAATTGTGTGTTTCTGCGTGTGCATTTATGATGATGTGTCAATTGTGCTTAATGGAGAAATTGTCTGCTCCCCATTACTCGCAAAACCTCATGTAAACTTACGGTCACCATTTTGTGCATAAGCTGTTTGGTACTTGGGCCCCTGGATGCTAAATAAGTAGCTTGAAAGTAAGTTTCTGGCATTTGAACACAGGTGTCTGAGACAGATGATTGGAATTTTATGGTAAGACAGGATAAGCAATTCAAAGGTCTGGAAGATAACGTGGCAGTTAGGTGTTGTAGATACGAGAAGGCAAAAATAGTTACGCTGGGTGAGACCTGTGCAGGATGGGGGAGGGCCGATTCATAAGGCAGGCACTGGAGTGGTCTCTATGAATTTGTTGACCAAGGCGAAGATCTCAGGCCAGATGGTGGGATCTGGTGGAGGATAGAATGATTTGGCGAGGAGTAGTAGCATCAATGTATGTGTAATAAAAGACTCCGTCAGGCGATGCTGGTCTCCGTTTGTCTTTTATTTAGGTTCTTCTCCGCACCCCCCCACTGGCCTCCTCTCGGACCAGTGTCGTCTCGCGCGCGCCCCGCGCACGCTCCCTCTCGCGTGCCACGCACGCTCTTTCTCACGTGCCCCGCATGCTCCTCCGTTAGCTCTTCTATTCCCGCACTCCGCACACCGCTGGCCGACGGCGTGCAGAGGTCCTTCGGCCACGTGGCCGATGACGCGGCTCTTTCCTCACCACCCAACGTGGCTCAGCCTCTTAACTTCCCCGAATGCCTCGATCTCTTCCGGGCTCCCACTTATATACATTCCAGCCTTCCCATACTACCCCGCTGGCTCCGCCCCCATTCACCTCGCCTCCCATTGGAGCCGAGGTGAACGGTGGCCCCTCCCACACGCCCCGCAGACCAGGCTCCGCCCCCCAATACGCCGGGCCGTGTGATTGGACCGGAGCCCAGCAACAACCCCATTTACGCTCGCATTACATATGTATCAAAGTGCTAATTAATATTTTATTGTTTTGTAGCGTGAAGCTTGTGGCGATATTATCGGGCCTGAGCATCATGTTTGTCATCGTCGTACTTGTACTGGGCATCTTCATCATCAAGAGGCAGCAGACAAAACGCCGCAAGAAAACCCTCCGAAAGTACATCGAAAATGAGGTGAAGGAGCGGTCTTTTGCATGCACCATCCCCATCCACCCTATAATGGTGGCATTGCACACGTGTCTACAAACATAATGTTTGTTGTGTCACAAGATCCAAGGAATAAAAATATACTTTTATAACTCTGGAATTGAGAAATTGGCTCATTTGACTGTGGATGGTGGTGGTACGTTTTCTAAAGCTTTTGTATTTGAAGGGAAATGGTAACAGGTGTTTGTTCTGTCTGTTTTCCTGTTTCAGCTGGTGCAGCCTTTAACGCCAAGCGGTGCCGTTCCGAACCAATCAAAGCTACGGATTATCAAGGAGACACACCTGAAAAAGGGAAAAGTCTTGGGCTCAGGAGCCTTTGGAACAGTGTACAAGGTTTGCATATGAAACTAACCAGACTATGATAAACAGGAAAAGTGCAAATTTTTTTAATCTGTGAGATCAAATCGGGCTTGTGAAGTATGAATTTAGAAAATGTCCTATTTACTATGTGTAGTGGGTCCAACTGAGTCACAGACGTTCCTTTTAGAGGCAACATTTTTATTGTAACACGTAACACAAAGGGGTAACTGCCCCTTCACCAGATACAGCCTAGGGTGGGGACCACCCAGCTAACTACCCTATACAGAGGAGTTACTGCTACGAAGGGTCGGGCCCTCACTCGGGTCCGCAACCACATAGTTGCCTCATAGGACTTAGAGCTTCCAGCTTGAGACTTAGAGCTTCCCACTTGTAGATGTTGAGCTTCCAGCTTGTAGATGTTGAGCTTCCAGCTTGAGACGTAGAGCTTCCAGCTTGTAGAATGCAGTGACCCCGGTCCCTCTCAGGGACCCGCCTTATATCCCCCCACGGGTTGGGGCCGCTCCGCCCCTGGCCCCTGGCCCTGCCCACCTTCTGGAGCCTTCTAGCCCCCCCTCGATCCCTCACGAGAGCTCTTGCCGGACACGTGATCACCCCCTAGTCCCCCCACCTGGGGGCCTCTCTTTGGACATTCTAGATCAGGGGTCCCCAACTCCGGGCCATGGACCGGTACCGGTACCGGTCCGTGGCCTGTTAGGAACCGGGCCGCACAGTGGTGAGTCCGCGCGTGGCCCATTATTTGATTTACCACTTCCATCCGCGCCTCTTTCCCGCACTGCGCACTTGTCTCAGTCACAGTTTTGGAAAGACCCAATGATGAACCCCCCCCGGTCCGTGAAAGAAATGTCTTCCACGAAACCAGTCCCTGGTGCCAAAAAGATTGGGGACCGCTGCTCTATATCACGTGTCTGCAGAGTCAACCAGAGTGCCATGACCCGGGGCAACCCTGTCCTTGGGCTGACACTCTGCCGCTACCCCTCGTGGGAGACCGCACTGCACGCTATGCGTGGTGCCCGCGCTATCCCCGCGCTCACCAAGCCCCGCTAGGGCTGGTACTACACCCACCACGGGGTGTACGCGATGACGGTGCATCGCACGCTACGGTTCTTCCGGGCCGGCACCATACAGTGACATCCCTGTTGTCACTACATATGTATAGAGCACCTGTTCTCAAGGTGATTAGCACAGTGTAAAGCATTTAACATAAAATAATGATCTAGATGGCAGGGACGTTGCAGGGGCTGAGGAATAGGTGACCGTGGCAGATGGTGCTTATTGGTCATGAAGAGGGAGTGAAGGGATTGGAAACAGTGGAGGGGAGAGGAAGAGAATGGGCAATGGAGAAGAGGTGGAATTTTAATAGGTGGAATTTTAAGAGGTGGAGCTTTAAGAGGTGGAGCTTTAAGATGTGAGCTTTAAGAGAGGGATGGAAAAAGGTTAAGGAGGGGCACCGATTCATTTACGGGGGAACTTTATTCAAGTGGAGGGGTGCACGGAGGGAGGACGAATGTACTTAAATTCTTACAGACATATTTCATACTCTTTGGGTCTTTCGATAAAGTCACGTGACTTTACCGAAAGACCCAAAGAGTATGAATTCCTGCAGTCACGAAAGCTTAAAATCAAGACATATTTCAGTTGCCCTCAGTATCCGCGCTCCCGACATCCCACACACTTTGGAAATATGAATGCTCATGGGCCCACTATGTGTTAATTCATGCAAGATGAATACTGCACGTTGGTGTTTGCCAAGCAGAAAAAATATTTTGGGGAAAAACTGTGCCAAAACATCTGACAATGGACAGCCTGGATCCATTAATGGGAGGCACCGTGTGGGAGAGGAGTGCTCTGACAAATGAGCCATCCGGCCGCCTGTCTGATTAATGTCATTGACAGCATTGACCTCATGTTGTTGTGTCCTTCACAGGGGGTATGGATACCCGAGGGAGAATCGGTCAAGATCTCCGTTGCCATCAAAGTTTTGAGAGAAGCCACATCCCCGAAGGCCAACAAGGAGATTCTTGATGCAAGTATCACATTCCACGCAGCGGATTGGCGCAAGATTAAAACCATGCAGTGCTGCTTTACACAACGGCAACTGATGTGCCACACATATGTTGCGGGTATAAACGTGGAGCGAGACTTCTCTTTCGGAGGCAACGCGTTTATTACGATAAACGATAACAATACCAATAGCGATAGCAGTAACACTCAGGCCTATCACTCCTGTAACACTACAGGGTATGGCCCCGTTACCCGATAACCTAAGGGAGGTACAGCCTCCCTTCTAGCAGGCCCTACAGACTCCGGGCTATGCTCTTATGGGTCCTCCGCTACGGGAGCTAGGGGAGGCTAGGCTGACCCCACCTAGCCAGGGTATGAGTCTCACCGCTTCAGATGTCTTCGGGTCTTGAGGAGATGAACACTGCCGGTACCGTTGAGAGGGCCGGCTTTTATACACAAGTTGGGGCTTACCCTGCCCCTAACCACACCTTCCCCAGAACCTTCCAGAAGTCTCTGGAAGGGTCGGGAATGAACTGTTGGCCCCTAGCCCCCAGCCCCACCCCTTGGGGGTCTGGGGTCTCTACCTCCGGTCACGTGGTACCCGGGGGGGGGGGGGGGGTTACCCCAGGTCAACCACCACACCTCCCGCTCACTCTCTCGGCCGCCCCCTATCGGCCTGTGGGGGTGGTGACCATAAGAAGACCCACAGCGCCTTGGTTTGGCGCAACACATACACTATAGATAAAGACTCCTGTGTAATAAAATAACAATTACAGCCTTTATCAAGTCACTGCTGGATGACGGCCTCCCATACCTACCATGCCGGTCGTGAGGGTTTGTGTACACCATACTTAGCCATACTGGTCAGTGCGACATGATGAAGCCGAGGTGTGATATCAAGAAACAGGAAAGATATGACACCCCAATGATGTTAGCCGTGGATGGGAATCGAACTCAGTTTGCTGGGATCTTAGTGCATTGTACGAATCACTGCATAACCATGTCCCCTCTATATATAATTCCATATTGGGAAAATCATCTGCAATTGCTTTCATATTGCACCGATGCTGTCTGTAACCGAATGCCTTTTGAGGCTGGATGCAAGGCTGTAGTTATTAATCTGCACAGAAACTGCTGTGAAAGAACACTTGATGTGTCGGATGATGATAATTGATATGTTTATTATGGTAGATCCAAGTGTAATGCCGAGCACTACATGCAGGCATTGTATCCATCCTCATCATCATTATTAATCAATAATTACATTATGATAATCAGCTTGTCTCATCATTATCAGCACATCCTTTATTTATAACCAAGTAAGATAATGGAACACCAAGGGAGTGCCGATATCACCTCGTATTTCTCAATACCCTGTGGAGTTTCATATACGGAACAACATAATTGTAATGTTCTATACATAATAACCCTGTATGAGCACGATATTTACAGCACTTAAACAAAAAGCACCAAATCATTCTGTCGCTATATGAATGGCGCTTTGATTTCACATGGCCGCCTGTATTATATATACAATTAATTGTGAAGGGTTGATCTTGATTGGATCATGCCAGTGGGGCACAGTGGCATAATCAGCCGGTGTCACCCTTCCGTCGCGCGGGGATGTCGTGTCTGTTGATGAATATTTATTTTCTCGAACACAATTTCTTATTCAGGGGTAGAGGGAGTCGCGCTCGTATCGTTAGGTAGCCTGTCCCAAAAGTTGCCAATCTCGTGCGCACGCGTGCAGGAGGCGTACCTGATGGCGCGCGTGGAGCACCCGTACTTGGTGCAGCTGCTGGGCATCTGCCTGACCTCCACGACGCAACTCGTGACACAGCTCATGCCGCACGGCTGCCTCCTCGACTACGTGCGCGAGCACGTACACAAGCTCAACTCGCAGATCCTGCTCAACTGGTGTGTCCAGATCGCCAAGGTACGTACCACCGTGGTACTCCACCGTCTCGATCAGAATCAGAATATTTATTTTCAACAGATGTCCGGTAGTTTCACAGATGTCCAGTAGACTTGTCTCCATGGGTTTCCTTTTTCTGTTGCTCTTCTTCCTTTGCCCCCCTTCTATTCCCTTCCAGTCATTGTAATTATCGTTGTCATCAGTGACCCACTTATTGACATTTTGGAGCCACGGGGGGGGGTGGGGCAATGTGGTATCCTCTCTCCTAGCGGCCCCATTTTACCTTGCGGGCACTAGAATGTGGGCATGCACCATCACACACCGGTGTATGACACCAAAAGGTTCTCAGCTGAGATATGTCCAGAAGTAACAGTGTTTGTAATCCCTTTCCGCATTCCGTTCCTTCTGCACCAGTGATGCTCGCACGAGCTAGCCTTGCCATCTCACGGGGTCACAGGAGGAATATTTCAATGTTACAGTAGTGTAACGCATTAATGTGTGTTGAGTGGTGTAATATTAAACAGCTGACAAAACCGGTACTTTTTTATGTCCTGGTAAAACTGAAACAGATTTCTCCGGGCCGGCTATGTCAAAAATATACGAACCAGGACAGATGACAACCCTGGTGTGTGAAGCTGAGCGGCATGGTACCTACTGCCACCCCCCTCACCATTTGCTCCTTCGACCCCACTTCCTCGCCCCCCCCCCATCCCCCGCACAGGGCATGCTCTACCTGGAAGACCAGCGGCTGGTGCACCGCGACCTCGCCGCACGCAACATCCTCGTCAAGGCCGTCAACCACGTCAAGATCACCGACTTTGGGCTGGCGCGGCTGCTCGACGGCGACGAGCAGGAGTACCACGCCGAGGGGGGCAAGGTGACGGTCGCCGCCACCGGCACCGGGATCCAATCGCACCACAGAGCCTTCGCCAGTCGTGCGGCAAGGCCTGCGGAAGTACTGTAGGAGTAGCATTATGGGTTATTCAACTAGCAAACCAGCAGGTCCGTGTTAGCCGCTGAGGTCGTGACAGGTTTTATTTATTTTTTCATTCATCTTGCTCTATGCTCCTGTACCGCTGGAGTCGTGCACTTTTATATCTAAATTGAAAATCCGTTTCTTTAGAACTGCCTTTTGTGTTTAGTTTGTTTTCATTCTCCCGCACCTCTGTTAAGCACGGTTGGCTACGTACGGTGCAAAAGACGCTCAACATGCATGCACTGATGCCTACTTTATTGAGGGTGATATTGGCACGTAAAATAAAGACTGATTGGTTGATGTTGGCATCTGAAGAAAACACCTTAATTAACTCGAATGGCTCTGTGGTGTTATAAATAGTCCTTGAACTCCATTTTACGAATGAAAGCAACAACTGGCTTCAAGTGCATTGCTATCTTTGTGATTTATCAACGTCATTGTGCCCTAACGAGCAGCGCTCATAGTTGTCAGCAGTCTATCTCAGCTGGACCCAGGACTCGAGGCACGTCTGCGATGAAGTGCAGACGATGGCTCGCTCAACTGCTCCAGTGTCATCTGTTAGGGGAGCCGTGCACGGCTGATGATTGACGTGCCACTATTGGCCGGGCACACAAATGATCGCCATTGATCTGACTAAGTTGCGATGATGGACGTGAAATTAATGAAGCAGTATTGAGCCTTGGGTGGAAACTTCCCATTCCTTTATCAGATATTTGTATACATTGAATGGTGACGTCCTACAGTGGCACTTATTTTATTGACCAAAGAAGGACATTTAATTATAAAAATGGTCATGAATGGCTATTACACAACATTCGAGTATGCTTTGGCAATTGTACAAATAGCTGTGCCCTGCTTAAGATTCTCATAAATAGCATATGTTTAGAATACATCGCTTATGACAACACGATTTTCTATCGTAAAAAAAATTCAAGAACATATATTTTAAAACTTTTTACACGCTTTTATTTAACTTACTGTATGTGTTGTCGTATCCAAAAATCTTGTAACTCAATTTCAACCGTATTCCCAATGTCGTATCGACTGCAAACTTGGTATAGGTATGTCATACTGATGAAAATTCTATATTCTATCATTGAAAATTAAAAAAAATATTTGTAAACAATCTTTTTTAGCCTCTAATTGTCCGCTCACGTTGGCTGTAAATCACCACGTGGTCCCTTACAATCACGGCAAGCCACGGGGAGCCACGCCGAGGGGCGGGGGATGTGGAAGGAGGGGAGGGGAGGGGCGATGGGGGAAGGGGGCAGGGGGAGGGGCAGCTCGGACAGTACATTTCATTAAAGCGTGTTTAAAAAAAAAGTATTTTTCATCTTTTTTTATTCCTCAGATGCCCATTAAGTGGATGGCATTGGAATCCATACAGTACAGGAAATTCACTCACCAGAGCGACGTGTGGAGTTTTGGTAAGAATACGATCTGTTTTGTTGAATGAAAGTTGTTTATTTTCAAAGTGCTCTAGAGAAAGTTGTTTGAACCACACGTAGACTTCAAAGCAGAATAAGAGTTTGCTGTTGCTTGTGGTCCCTGCAGGAGTCACCGTATGGGAGCTGATGATGTTTGGAGGAAAACCGTACGATGGAATTCCAGCCCGAGAAATCCCAGATCTTCTGGAGAAGGGGGAGAGGCTGCCTCAGCCTTCTATCTGCACCATTGATGTGTACATGGTCATGGTCAAATGTAAGCCATATGTGTCAACTCCATCTTGAGGTTCTTCTATAATGTATAAGTCCACACATGGAAATTTAACCGGACCCTATGTTAACTTTATTTCTTATTCATTTTAAGGTTGGATGATCGATGCCGAGGCACGCCCAAGGTTCAGCGAGCTTATTTCAGACTTCTCTAAGATGGCCCGAGATCCAAAGAGGTTCTTGGTCATCCAGGTGAGTGCAGGTCAACGTGCCTACAAATGTACACAGCTCGCAGCTGACTTTAATCACCAAAAAGTATGAGCGTATATTTAAGCCACCGAACAGAGAGTCCACTGGATGTAGAGTGAGCGCTGGGAAATAGTGGGGCCCTGTTGACTGCACTGACTTGTTTTGCTGCAGGGAGATGGAGTGCATGACCTGCCCAGCCCCTCGGACAGCAAATTCTACAAGACCCTGCTGGAGGAGGATGACTTGAAGGACCTTGTGGATGGAGAAGAGTACCTCAATACTAAGCCCTTTACACTGCAGCCTCCTCCTACAGGCCGGAGAAGGGGGGCATCTGCAGTGGTGAGACCGCCGAGATGAAGCCAGCACATGAGGTCACTACGGTGACGCCGCAATGCCCTCTCGCCAATAAATATCCATAACCACGTGCTAAGCCATTTCGGCTTCAGAGCGCCTGGTGATTGATTGTCCTCATTTTCCAGAGCATTTTAAAGAGAGTCTGTCGACTGCTGAGTTTCCTGTTCATAATTCACTTGGGTTTTTAAAAAGAATTTCCTTACCGGTTCTGGCACATTCTATTTTGCACTAAAGCTGAATTTTGGTATGTTTTTTATCTCCACTAAATGCTAAGAAATATTTAACTTCCAAGGTATGTAATATTTTGTAGAGCTAGTCCTGTGGCTCGTAATCTAGAGACTGATGCATTTGCATTGCCGTTCAAGGTGGTTGAGACCTTGCGTAAGTTGGTAAGTTGCTTTATCTGATAGTCTTCCGTGTATGCTATGTAGTGAACCATTTCTGGATTGTTTAAATTGTGAATATGATGATTCGGTTTACTAAACACCTCCTAAAGAAGCATATACAGAATAGTTTGCTAAAAGTTTTTGTTTTCCAAGCTGTTAAAACGCATCGTCATGAGAGAAGCAACCTTTAATGAATTCTCACACAGCAGTGCAAAAACATTGAATTATAAAACGGCCCACGGAAGGAGATATCACAGAACTACTTCTGAGATTCCGTCTGTAACATCTTTGATTGACACTGTGGGACTCTAGGGACTCTAAACCTTTCCAACATGCCCTGCTACAGAGAAAAACAACTCGTACTACGTTTGAGAACATGGTGTAATCATGGGTGGTTAGGATCCAGAATTGAACCCGGGATTCTCAGTGGTGCCGGCTTAGTCCACTGACCCACGGGCCACCTGGTTACCGACTACGTTTGAATATTTTAACAACACCGATCGTTGTTTTTCTTCCAGACCAACGGAGACAGTTCGGCTGCTCCAACGTCACCAACAAACAGTGTAAGTTTAGTTTCACCGTTTAATGCGCATGCAAGTGACATTATCTGCAGCATATTTGAAGTACAACGTAATTTACGTTCAAGTCCAGGAAACCGAGGGAAACAAATATGTTTTCCTCCCCGGAAATCCAATGTCACACAAACGATGCGACGTTCACAATTGTAATGAGAGGTAACGTGTTATAGTGATTGTTTTTGTTCTATCTCGGATCAAATCAATGTTTGATTGAAGAAAATCTGACTGGATGACAGACAAAAAAAACAAGTGACTGTGTTGGCAGTAGAAATAAAAAAAATCTCACGACATTCAGCATGAACACTGCCTTATAAAGTTTTTGTTAAGTCTGCGGCTTTGTGGCAGATTGACTGTGCAAATTCGGACTGGGGGAGAGGGCATTCGTTACCCAAGGTGTGCCTGCGTAATTGGCTCAGCTCCTGCTATATAAAGGGACTATAGAAGCCAGAGAAAGGGGAGGAGGGCAGGAAGCTGTGGCTCCATACTGCTACTGGCGACAGTGGTGATGCAACGTGTGATGACGATGCTGCGAAAAGCCCGTAGGTGATGCGCAAGAAGTACACCGTGAACCCTGTTTCTGAGTTCCACCGAACAGCGCAAGAAAGACCCTTTGACAAGGCTGCTATGTAATGCAACGGCCCTTATTCTTTTGGACATGCACTTCAATCAAAGGACCATGCCAGAAATGTTGGCCTCGGCCAGGGGTCGGCAACCAAAATAAAAAGAAGAGACATTTTTTTCGAATTCGGTAAACAAAACCCTCAATGTTTCAAGAGCCGCAATGCCGTGTCACTATGAGACGGTGGCTCCTGAATAAATTACATCACGAAGCAGTCCTTAAATAGCCGCAGGTTGCCGACCCCTGGCCTATGCGGTAATAATGACCAACTTGAGTATTTTTATTGTGCAAGGTGACAGGCAGATAACTTTCAAACCATCTCACTTGGTGGACAGCATTGTTGTGTTGTTGTACTGTACATCTATGCTTTCACGTATATGCTGCCTGCCCTCACCAACCCACATGGTGAAGCATAATCAAATAAACTCCTCGGCCTACATTGCACAGAGAGGCCCTCATCCAACGGTGGAATGACATGTACTTGTATGTCAGCCTCACACAACTGATGGTAACGTACGTGAGCCAACAGCACAGGCTAAACACGGAGTGTGGTCGCGTGCTTGCTTGCGTGCGTGCTTGCGTGCAGCAAGCACCCCTGCTCGCGGACAGACGCTCGTCGTCACGTTCCACCTCCGGCCGGGCTCACGGGCAGGCCGCCTCCTTCGAGGGCCCCGTGCGGGATGGGGGCCACGGCGCCCGTGTCCCCGTGACCCCGCACCCTCGGCTCGGCCGCAGCGTGCACCACGACGGGGTCGAGCAGGGGGCCAAGGGCATGGACGGTGCCGCCGCGGCCGCCGCCACCACCGCCAAGTGCGGAATTGTCCCCAGGGTTAACAGCCTGCGCTACCTCAAGTCGCCCGGCGCACAGCCCCCGACGGAAGAAGAGTCGGATGTCCTGCCGGACCCCGGTTGGCCCCAATCTGGTGCGTGCCACGTTTATATTCACACTCACTTTGAATTCTTCATCATCATCAGCATCAGCCGTGATCAATCCCCCGCTGCTCGATACACTATCCAGGGTCAACCCTTGCCTGGCTTTTGAGATCTGTTGAGATCAGATCCATTACACGTGATTTGGTCATTATTATCATCATCAACCATGATTAATCCACCACTGGATGAAGCCCCCCACCTCCTTCCTCCCAACCTGTCAGCCAACTCTGAGGGCCCTGTGACGTAACCATCTGTCTATCTGCTGCGCACGAGCCGAGTTCATTGATCAGTCTCTGTGGTGGATGTATTCTCGGGCGCAATGCCATTATATTGTTTTATCATTCTTCATTTTTGCAAAATGGATAAGCAGATTATATTCCTCATTTTAACATATATCTGTGTCTCCACGTAAAAAATATTTTTTTTGTTACACAATCCATCGGCCCCCATGGCCTTCTGGGAATGCTTACTTCCAGCAGTATTTATTCAGTAGAAGCCATCTGTGGACGGACATATAGTGTATCATCAACAGTAGTCAGGATTGCTGGAATCAATGCTGCTGAACTGCTAGGTGCTACAGATATGGGTCCTAGAATCTTGATTTTAAGTAAAGTTAAATTTAATCTTACACACGTATTGAACTCTGTCTCGTATTTTATGCACGCACAGCCCTTTTTGTCAATACATTGCTGAATAAAGAGCCTCCCCACACAGTACAGGTCATGACCATACTTCGCCACGTTGATTAGTGTGCTACGATGAAGGTGGGGAGAGTGGATATTGAGCACAAAAGCACAGCACAATAATGGATGTTGCAGCATTGCTCTCTGTTTTCGACTGCCGCCAGGGCTACAAGGCAGACAGCAAACTGCTGTGCATAGTGGTCACCCATCTCGACACTATCCAGACCAGGACAGACTGTTAAGTTTCCGAGATTTGAAAAGATCGAATGCATTCTGCGTGATTTTAGGCATCCTAATCATCATCGGCCACGATCAATCCATTGAATTATGAATGTCTCCCGAAGCCATAGCTATCGCTCATGGTCCAGCGCTGCAATATATTTAGTCACAATGTATTTCATATTTATCCCCTTGTATTTCCCCCAGGTTATCTTTGCAAAAGAGAAATTTGTCTCAATAGGCTGTCATTTCAATCTAACACATTGATGATGATAATGATCGCCATTAGACCTCCTTTGCCAATCAGTTTCAAGGACAATGCATATATTATCAGTGTGTTTTTGTTTGCATTTTGACTGCAAGTATTGTGGTTGATGCAGACATGAATCCTTGTAAAAAGGTTTCAGTTTTGTTGCCAGAAAAAGTGGGAAACCCCTATTATGATGATAATGATAACAATGTAGTCATCCAAGATAAAAAAAAAACTGTTTTCCGACTGATGCAACATTTTAAGGGCTCATTCTGACCTAAGTATTTCCATGCCATCCCTTTTCCGACACACGTGAACCCGATCGCAGGTGACCCCTCATTGATGCTGGAGAACCCGGATTACCTGGAAAACCCAACGGCCGTCACGCACGGCCCCCGAGGCGATCAGCAGATCTACGTGAACGACTTTCCCAGCCCAATGGAAAACCCAGAATACATGGAGCAGGAGATGACACCGTCGACAGGAGAACCCGACTGCCCGTTGATATGTGGCGAGCGGCCAGCGCCCGGCTCCGGAGCGACGAGTGAGAGAAACCAGGAGTACTTGAACATGCAGCCGGCCAAAAGCAGGCCCAGGCAGAATGGCGGCGTGATGCTCAGCACCGCAGAGAACGTGGAATACTTGGGGGACTTTGCCGAGAGGCCTGCAGCGGTTACACTGCACAACTCTCTATCAACTCACACCACTGTTTGACACTCAGGGACACTTGTGTGTGCATCCGCAGTAGTATAAAACTATCAACAGCGGCACCAGTATCATTAGTAGTAGTAGCAGCAGTGACAGCGGCAACGTTATCATTTCTAAGCTGCGGCACAATGCACTATCACCCATACCAATATGTCACACCAGGACACAGTGAGTGCAGTAGCGGCGGCGGCAGGAAAGTCACTACCCTCTGTGCGCAGCACGAATCGTACATTTGCGCACTCGTTTGATCATGTCGACACATCACTGATGAATGGGATTTCTGTGGAAATATCCACATCCTTCACGAAAGACATAATCATGCCCTTCTCGACAGATAGCAACTCATGGCTAAATGGTTAAGCATTTCTGCAGTATATCATTAATATCAAATTTGCAATAATTTATTAATTTACAAGGTACGTAGCTGTGATTTGTAACTTTTCAAAGCAAATGTAAATCTGTGCATATTTGAAATTGGTTAAAATACACAATTATTTATATTTACTCTCGTTTGCTTACCCCACGGCATTTATTCACAATTACATCTTAAGTGGCACATAGAGTGGGGGATATAAGGACTGTACATTTATATTTTATTTTTGTAAATGATGATTTGGAGAACGGGAGAGTAGGGTGTGAAATTGAACGCAACTTTGTTCAAGGTTGTGACCACTTTTAAATTTGCACAGAGAAACTTTTTAGATATATAGATTTGCATATTTTGATATGTCGACATGCAAAAATAAATGATAGATATGAAATCTGCAAATGTAGAGCACATTAGTATTTGTGTGGAGTCCTATGGTAAGAGTATGGTTTTATTTGACTGGAAATGTACTTGTGTCGTCTATGCTACGTATTATGATTTGTTTGCAGTATAAATAAGGTTTTTTTAATGCTAGGTTTAAGATATATAATTTGTTCAGATGAGGGTGCTTTTTGCATAATGGAACACTGCCGGGTGAATACCTTTCGTTTGTTAATCAAGTTATTATCCCGCCTTAAAACAACAACTTCAGGATCATGCAGCTAAGCATAGTGTACTCTGTTTTGCATGATTTTATGGTGACTTTGTGCTGGTATATGTATATTTTGTATCATAATTTTTAACAATGATTACTGCTGAAGCCTACAATAATTGAAACCACTGAAATATACAGCTCACATTTGTGTATTGCAGTTTTCGTTTTTCAGTTGACAACACTGCAGTGAAGATGATTTGCTAGCCCGATGTAATTTAAAATGTATTATAATTTTATCAGACTTTTACGGTATTTGTCACACATTACACTTTTCTATATTTGTAGCTCTTGGTTGTGAACACAGTTTTTATACCAGAAACATATAAATAAAAGTTTGCTTAGCCTAGCAGAATGCCGAGTGAGTCTGCTGTGTTAATTATAGCATTGCGATCAGATTTCACCTTTTTACAATGTCGTTAGAAAGTAATATATTACTTTCCAGATGTTAAACCGTTTGCATGCTTTCACACCTGTGCACAGTCACACGCACAACTGAACGGGTACACACAGGGACTGGCCCACACACACACACACACGTCGACCAAAAGTCAAGTAAAAAAAATATCTCGACCAAACAGCGTGGCAGTTGGCAAGGACCTGTGGCTTTTATTTGCACAGGTGTTGACCAAGAAACCCAGCGTTAACCCTCAGGAGGATTTTGCAAGCGAGTTGGCATTAACAGGGCTCCATTCATAGCAGATTATTTTAAATATATATTGTAGTGGCATTTATGCTTTCGGCTGCAGTACAACCTGTAACCCTGCGCCTGACGGGCTGATGTGACGTGTGTTTGGGACACCGCCAAGGTACATGCCAGGGTGCCGTGTTCAGGATTCTGTGAGCCAGGTGGTTTGCAGCCCAGAAAGCCAGTCTAGCAAGTGTCTGCGCCGTCTGCTCTGCCAGACCCGATGTAGAAGGGGGGGAAAAAAAGCCAGCATAGACGCTGGGTTTAAAAGCAACTTACTCCAGCCAAGGTCTCAAGGGATGTACGAGGTGACGAGACGTTAACGACAATACCTTCCCCTGCTATGCAGGAGGCCGTGAGTTCGAGCCCGACCCTGACGCCTATCTATTTGGAGTTTTCCTGTTCTCTTCGTGGTCGCGTGGATTTTTCTCCGGGTCCTCCGGTTTCCCCCTCCACATTTTTCATGAATATGCTTTTAGAGTATTTGGCTGCTGTAAATTTCCACACGATACGTCATTTCGTCGGGCTATAATTTGTGGCCAAGTCGCTTTTGAAACACATTCCTGCGGAGGGAGCTGGTAGGAACGTTGGGTTGCTCGGTCAATGGCCAGGGTCAACGGCGGCGTGGTGTATTCCGCAAATATGCCCGACTGTGAGGACGGGCACAAGCCGGCGTGAGTAGGTTAAACGTTGAGTTTTATAAGAGCACCACGGGGTGACCAGCCACTCCCCACCCAGCCCCACCTCTCCCACCCCCCACCCAGCCCCACCCTCCCCACCCAGCCCCTCCCCACCCAGCCCCTTCCTCCCCACCCAGCCCCTCCCTGCACGACGGACGGACGGACACAATAATCCCCTGTGGGCTGGTGTAACCAGGAGGTTCCTACCAGTAACAGAGCTGTCGAGCTTAGTGGGCCTTATCTGGTCAAATAAAAAGTTAAGTTTAGTCAAAGATGGTTCAATGTCATGAGAATACTATTAGTACTTCGACGTATGTTGTTGCAGTTGTGCTGCATTGCTCTCCGATGTGTTTTCTGGTTGCTAAAGAAGAGTTCCCGGGAGCTCCCAGCATGCGGAACAAACAAAACGTTGGACATGCCTAGCAACAAGCGGTTCAACTCGAAAACATCGCAGAGCTATCCAAGAAGATAGTCTAGAACTGGGAATCACATGAGGAGAGGCCAATAGAACTAGTTGGAGATAGACACGGCTCACAGTTTTCCATGAGTTGGGCTGAATTGTTTTATTTCCTGAGTTTCATGGCTCTCTTTCATAATCCAAATAGATTAAATTTCGGGTAATTTTTCAAATGATCACGACGCTGGCATACAACGGCCGACTCTTGCGAGCGACGTCACGGGATCTTGAACGTTGGAAACGGACGGCGCATATTTTGACAGCTAATACACCCGCGGTATTTATCAGGGCGGTCACTCGATTCGAAACGTGAACCTCTGCAAAAAAGGGGCGAGCGCGCCAGCACCGGTGCCGCGTCACTGCCACACGTTCCTGAACCCGACGCATTTGACCCAAAAGGTTCAACTGCGACCGTGGGAGCTGAGCTGGTTGTAAGCGCATGGTGCTCTTGTACACGTGGCTCGGGCATCGGCCTCGTGCAAGTAGAGACGTTGAGGTTCCTATCAAAGTCGCCACTTTACACTCAAGAGCCGCACTGTACCCTGGATGAGCCTTGGTGAAGCGGGTATACACTTGGCATCCTCGCAAGGCTTGGTACAGTCCGAGGAAAATTAAAAACATGCTGAAATATTCCTTTAACGTTGACCGAACACTGACTTTTCATTGATAAGCACAGTAATATAACTGTTCATGCAATGGTCCTTTGCGAACAATAACGACCACTGGGAAAATGTTCATTACATATTGTTCGGTCGCAAGGAATTTTTCCTCTTTTTTGTTTGCGAATGACAAAGGTGGCGAAGCATTCGCAAGCCACTGCTCGTCATGCACAGCTGCCAAACGAAGTCTGAAATGTGTAACTAAAAAACATTGCGCGTTGCCATCAACGGCTGTTGTTCCGTTGCGGGCGTTGTGCCCGGCTTACACATTGTATCTGCGTTAATTGGTGGCGAGGGGGAGGGGGGTAATTATGTCGTGGGTGTACACAGTAGTTGACCCCACTGGCATTTACCGTAAATCCCGAGGTCGACGGTTCATTCTCGGCAGTTGAATCAACGGGCAAGTTTCTTGACCATCTTCAACGACCACCACCACCACACCACCAACTCCCGGCTTCTGTCGCCCCAACAGGGCGCCACGGTGGCTAGGAGATGTTAACTGCCTCGCCTGGTGTACAGGAGGTCATGGGGTTCGATTCCGACCCTGACGCCTGCTGTATATTTGGAGCTTGCATGCATCTCTCCCCGTGGTCGCGTGGATTTTTCTCCGGGTCCTCCGGTTCCCCCCCCCCCCCCCCCCCACATTTAGGATCGACATCACGGCGTTTCAAGTATTTGCCTGCTGCACATTTCCACGTGACGAGCCACTTCGTTGATTTGCGGCCAGGTCGCTTCTGAAAAAAGAGCTACGTCACTCAGCGGGCCTTTACCTGGTAAAATAAAATAAAAAAAAGATTGCATAGTTTAACAGTAAAACTTGGTACACCGGAGTCGATCGGCAGGTCCGACGTAGTGGGGTAAAACGTGGGTACTCTCACATCTCTCAAGATGAAAAAACAACCTATCGGGAGTGGCGTGAGTAAGAAATTGCAGGGCTGAACTTGTACCTTCACACATTTGGCCTTGAACCACTTATGATAACAAGTGTGCAGCAGGAATGCGCTTTTGTGGCTGTTGAGCCCAGCGCTGTAATGCATCTCAAGGCACGAGAGGACTACATTTATTTTACACGCATTCCTTTACAGTGTTTTTTTTTCTGTATAAGGGGCACAGTCTCTGAACAAAACGACCACACTCGGGTTTTTAAAAAAAACGCGATGCGATACAGCTTTAAAAGGACGATTTACAGAGCGCGTTAAACAAACAGCTTCAACTTTTATTTAATGCCTTGACAGATAGATTATTAAACTTGAGGGGTTTTTTCAAAGCTGCTGATCCTTTAATGCTCGAGTAAGTCAGATTTTTTTGTGTGTGGTATCCATTTATTCGCCCCAGATTCTCAGCAGAAGTCACTGCAGGTGCCGGAACATTTGGTCGTAAAAAGAAGCCAGGATTTTAGATTTAAATCGTCTGGGAAGAAATGTTTTAATTTTGTCTTCCTAATGAAGTAAAATGTTAAAGGATTTAGAGACGTGCATACTATTATTGGGCTACCATACTTGTAGTGTTTTTATTTTTTGATTATTGAATTACAATTCTGAAATGATATTGCAGGAGCCCTCTAACACGATAGTATGAATTAGCTAAAGGGTTCCCCATCACCAGGGTTATCCTCCTGCACCAGAATGAATACTGTAAATTACTATATTGCAATCACAGTCTGGTTGAAAACGCCACTCATGCGGACTAGAAGGTAAATGTGCTTCCCTGAAATGTCTTGCTCACCCCACTGATTATGGAAGGGCTTCCACAAGAAGGAGCTATGGATGGCCCCAATAGATGGCATTTGGCCTACTGATCCACGCTGGCCAAACGCCTAGGAATAAACTGAACTAAACTATTTTCTAATTTCACCAGGTAAGGCCTACTGAGCTGTATAGCTCTTTTTTCAGAAGCGACCTGGCCACAAATGATAGCTCAAGAAAGTCGATTATCATGCAGACATTTATAGCAGCCAAAACACTCTAAACGCATGTCTCTAAATGTGGAGGGAAATCCCGGAGAGAAGTCCACGTGACCACGGGGAGAACATGCAAACTCCAAATATACAGCAGTTCCACGACCACCTATATACCAGGCGAGGTAGTTAACATCCAGAGGTGGGATTACCCACACTTTACCCCACTATTCGCGACCCGTCGATGAACTGTGGCGTAACCCAATTATACTGCTGCCCAGCATATCGAACCGGTGACTTATGCTTTAAAGATCAAACTAAAAATATTAAACGTATCATATCTGCCATATTAGATCACACACCTGAAATTAAACATAATGAATCCATGAGTACTCTACCACAAATAGGCCAGGTCTACAAGCTATATTTCCTTGCATCAGTTTGAATCGCAGAGGCATTTTTACAGGTTGCTCGACCCGATAACCATCTCAAGTGGTCAGAAATTCTAGCCTGGAATTTTGGGAAAGTACAGGAACCTCTACAAAACAGAAGAACACTTTCCATGCCCACCCTATATATTGCATTCTATAGACATCACCAGCATCCAAACTAAAGTAAACAACTGAATTATGATAGCCACCCATATTACAAATGCCAAACCATCCGCATTAGTTTGACCAAATGAGAATATTTTTATTTTATTTCATGCAAATATCCAGTCCTTGGCAGAGGAGTGGCAGCAAAGGCGTTTTGCACACTATGCTGAGAAACCCGGTGACCTGGGTTAGCTTCCCAGCCACGGCTAATTTCAGTCGCGAATGTTATTTGAACCAGCCTTGGAGCTACCTCCATGCCTGCAACCTTTATCAAACGCTCCTGACCAGCATAGCCACTCAAACCCCATGACTTACAGTAAAACAATAATTATGCCGCTTATATGAACTAATGTCTGATATGGATATTGTTCACAATTGCACCCA